ATTATTCGTTGGTAAGAGCATCCATCGAAAACGGCTCGACCGATTTAACTAATTTTTTTTTAATACGTATGTATACAAATTAAAAACAAAAATGTTGAGTCAAAAATATAGTGTAAAAACACACACTGACACTTTAAAAATCGTAAGGTAACGAGCCACTATAGTTGGGCGCTACTGCGGTCGTATAACTAGTGATTAACAGCAATAGATATTAATAATGATGAAAAGAAACTTTATTACAAACACTTTTTAAACCAATAATTGGTCTTCCTAACGTAGTACACACCCGTATACCACGATTTCGGAGAGACATTCCGAATCTTCTCGTTCATAGTTGCCATAAATATATTTTACATTTTGTTGTTTCAGCTTATTTGCTTCATTGACCTGAATATATGTTGCTACACATGACACGTATTACCATAAATAGTAAAATTAATTGCTATACTAATTAGTAGCAAATAGCAATACATTTTTAACGTATATAACAATTAACTGAATATAAATCGTCTCCGCTCAGAATCGTTTTGTGAAGGTACGTATTTATGCAACGATAATATTATATCTTTGAATTTGAATTTAACATATTTGTAACAGTGACCTACTCAATGACTAGTTATTTCACAAAATGTCCAATTAAAAATATAATACAATGTTTCTCATTAGTAGATCTTATATATAGCAAGGGTGGTGTATCATTTTCGAGTCACGTGCCAACATTTTGTAATCAGTTAAAAAAAAAGTTATGTACATCATAGCTTGATATAATAATATAATAATATTGTGCCTGCGTTTTGATGAGAAATAATTCACTGTAAATAAATTTTCATAAATTTTGTATTTATGTTAACGCAAATAATGAGTTTATTTGGAATGATCTATTTTTTTGGAATACAAAATATTATGCCAGGAAGGAGTAAATTCCAAATTTGTATAATATCGGTGACTATTTTCTATAATAAATCGTTTTTTCACTTAACACAAGATCAAACAATAAACTAAAAATATTTTTGCTTGCCATAAAAATTTGGCCAAAATGTCATAGGCTCACCAACCTTGTGTCCTTGTCTTATATAACTTAAAAATCTTAATAGCATACATCAAAAACAATATATTTTTATTGTACCTATTTCAAGTTMAAATTTGTACGATAGGTTAAAAATAATAATCTTAGTTATTTTGTTGTTTTAAATAAAAAAATTTACTTGTATATGGGACTTCTCACAATTGCATATATATATTGTTATTTATACCATGTATCTACACGATGAAATTCCTTATTATTAAAAGAAAAATATTTTAACTAAGTACCTATTTTAATATATTATATAAAGGTTGTTCAGAAAGTATTGTATTACTCATTATATATACCTGCATCATTCGGGATGGTAAAAATACTAAGATTCTCGGCATCAGCATTTTTTCTGGTTGAAAAGTGAATYTATAGTTGGTACTTTTGAGAGKTAAGAATTTCATGGGAAAATTCTTTGGAAAATGTTCCAAAGTTTTTGAAAGCATTAGGAAACACGTACAATTTTTTTATTTATTTGATAGATAGGTATAGCCAAAAAACTTATAATTGTAGACATTTTAAATATTTACAAAATATTTGTATTAGTATTTTTCATTCATATAGTAACATATTCGAAATATTTTGGATCTATTTAACCTATGAGAATTATTTTCAAATTTTGTAAATTTTGAAATGTATATGTCTTATGGCTTGGGTCACTCTGATTTTTGTACGATACGGAGAGCGTTACCTTAACCTAACCTAACGTTAATTTTTTACGATACTGAATTTTCATCGGTAAAATAATAACAATGTCTATCTATCAAATATTGATATTATTTTTGTAATTCAAAATCGAATAACTATAGGCAACAGAATTTTCCAACAGATATTAAAAAAACGACAATTTGAAAAAAGTTGTATTACTCTAATATTATATTCAATAGAACAGTTTACCAACGTAAGATCTGCTATGTTTGTCAGTAGAAAAATGCGGTATTATGACTTATGGATAGACAACAATATCTTGAAATATAAATGGATCAAAATATAACCTATGCATAGGTGGTATACACATTAATCATTGATGTGCATTTTATTAATGTATCAGAAACAGTTCAGTTATAGGAAAATTAATTTTATAATTTAAAAGATATAACTTTTTTGCATGAAAAATTTATTTATTTAATAATTTAATGAAATTGAATATGGCTGTTTATCCATATGCAATATTAATTGAAGTTAACCATTATTTAGTATTTACTATGCAGACATATATGTAATATGTATGTTGTATAATGTATATATTATTTTAATTAATACCTACCTATGAGTAAATAATGTCAGCTCGGAAAATGGTAGTTGACTTCAATCATAAGAATAAGACAGCTATCTAATTAAAGTCGCTGATATATAAACTAAGTAGTTGTAAATACATTTTTGGTTCTTGTATAATACATTTCTTATATAATTAGTAAGTACTTACTAAATAATTATACATAACATTTTCAGATTTTCTAATGCCATTCAATGTTACCTAATAAGATATTAAGCATTATTTTATTAGATATATTTTTTAGCTTTTTCCCAAAAAAAGTAAGTCATCTGTAAGTTATGGAGTTCATTCACATAACACTTTTGTAATTGCACTATACATTATCATATTATTATAGGAGTCTCAGTCCATATATTATTTGAAACAAATAGTGTTTGATCAAATTAAAGTTATTATTGTTAAGTACTGACCATTAGATCCTCATCTCCCACCACAGATCCAATAAAACAAATTCCTGGATACACTACTAGTGCAAGCTCTTACAGAATAACAATTATATAATAACAGAATATTAACAATATTAACCATTACTTCAAGATGGTATATTGAAATTAAAATTATCTGTACAAAAAGATTTTTTGTATCCAATCGTTCCAGTAAAAAATATGTATACATTATTTTTATTAGAATGCACATACTTAAAGTTCAAAACAGTTCCTAGTTTCATATAATATAATATTTATCTATATATATATATATAGATAATAGATTATAATAGATTTCAAAAACAGGCAACAATAGAATAAMATTTGTTCATATTATACAYGATTTATTATTGTTCACAAGTCAAAAAACATCATACACATTTACATTTGGTTGAAATAATAATCTTGGTTGTAATCATATATATATCATATTTACGAATAATTATTACAATTTATCGTTGATATATTTCTATTACGTTATAAAAACCCTTAAACGCGAATCAATCATTATGTTATACAAATTCTTATCGTGACTTATTTATATATTTACATTGAAATTAAGAATAGTCAAATTAATTAAATCTAAATGCGGACGAAAATCTTAATTGTAGAAAATGTAATTGTTTTTTAAAATCATTTCAAGTAATANAAAAACGACAATTTGAAAAAAGTTGTATTACTCTAATATTATATTCAATAGAACAGTTTACCAACGTAAGATCTGCTATGTTTGTCAGTAGAAAAATGCGGTATTATGACTTATGGATAGACAACAATATCTTGAAATATAAATGGATCAAAATATAACCTATGCATAGGTGGTATACACATTAATCATTGATGTGCATTTTATTAATGTATCAGAAACAGTTCAGTTATAGGAAAATTAATTTTATAATTTAAAAGATATAACTTTTTTGCATGAAAAATTTATTTATTTAATAATTTAATGAAATTGAATATGGCTGTTTATCCATATGCAATATTAATTGAAGTTAACCATTATTTAGTATTTACTATGCAGACATATATGTAATATGTATGTTGTATAATGTATATATTATTTTAATTAATACCTACCTATGAGTAAATAATGTCAGCTCGGAAAATGGTAGTTGACTTCAATCATAAGAATAAGACAGCTATCTAATTAAAGTCGCTGATATATAAACTAAGTAGTTGTAAATACATTTTTGGTTCTTGTATAATACATTTCTTATATAATTAGTAAGTACTTACTAAATAATTATACATAACATTTTCAGATTTTCTAATGCCATTCAATGTTACCTAATAAGATATTAAGCATTATTTTATTAGATATATTTTTTAGCTTTTTCCCAAAAAAAGTAAGTAATCTGTAAGTTATGGAGTTCATTCACATAACACTTTTGTAATTGCACTATACATTATCATATTATTATAGGAGTCTCAGTCCATATATTATTTGAAACAAATAGTGTTTGATCAAATTAAAGTTATTATTGTTAAGTACTGACCATTAGATCCTCATCTCCCACCACAGATCCAATAAAACAAATTCCTGGATACACTACTAGTGCAAGCTCTTACAGAATAACAATTATATAATAACAGAATATTAACAATATTAACCATTACTTCAAGATGGTATATTGAAATTAAAATTATCTGTACAAAAAGATTTTTTGTATCCAATCGTTCCAGTAAAAAATATGTATACATTATTTTTATTAGAATGCACATACTTAAAGTTCAAAACAGTTCCTAGTTTCATATAATATAATATTTATCTATATATATATATATAGATAATAGATTATAATAGATTTCAAAAACAGGCAACAATAGAATAAMATTTGTTCATATTATACAYGATTTATTATTGTTCACAAGTCAAAAAACATCATACACATTTACATTTGGTTGAAATAATAATCTTGGTTGTAATCATATATATATCATATTTACGAATAATTATTACAATTTATCGTTGATATATTTCTATTACGTTATAAAAACCCTTAAACGCGAATCAATCATTATGTTATACAAATTCTTATCGTGACTTATTTATATATTTACATTGAAATTAAGAATAGTCAAATTAATTAAATCTAAATGCGGACGAAAATCTTAATTGTAGAAAATGTAATTGTTTTTTAAAATCATTTCAAGTAATAATATTTACACACACAATATATTGTTGTAGTCATAATAGTGTAATAATAATAATAATTATATATAATCAATATTGATAGAATAGTAATAATATTAAGTAATAATAGTAGTCAAAAATTGTCCGCGTCTATAAAAATTCTAAAAATGAATTTTTTCAATTGTAATAAATGTCATTGTATTTACATTATAATAGTAATAATAATAATAATAAAAAAAATAATAATAATATAAAATAAAAATAAAACAATCAATAAAATTCGCTGATTTGGCGTATACTTATAAAGCGATGTAAATATTTTATGATATAAACATTGTTTGTTTTATACTGTGTATGTTTGGTGTGCACATCAACAAAAAATGACAAGGCATTTTTAGTATTATGTGTATTGATTGGCAGTGTTATTTACAATCCCATATGTTGTTGTTGCTGTTGTACGGAAGCGGCAGAAGCTGGAGACTTTTTGTCGCCACCACCAGATGAGATGGAATCACCAACACTATTTRGACCACCATTGCTTCCAGGGTTTCCATTACCTCCAATAGATGATCCACCTCCGGCTCCAGGATTACTACCCGGATTCTGTTGTTGTTGTACACCACTATTTTGTACTGATTGGCCACCACTTGGAGGTCCCCCACCACTGCCACCGCTACTTGGTGGTCCAGTTACCCAAGAATTTTGTTGCTGTTGCTGAAGGCCATTAGGATTATTTGAAGATGATGACTGAGAAACCACACCTCCACCACCACTACCACCAGTTGGCGTTCCTGGGGCGCTGCCATCTGCACCAGATCCAGGTGGTGGAAATAGAGAATCACCACCCATTAGACCTCCTGGTCCCATTTGTCCTCCAGGTCCACCAACATTCATTTGTCCTCCGCCACTGACTGATCCCATTCCGCCAGGTCCACCTCCACTACCAGGTCCCATACCACCGGGTCCACCTCCACCACCACCTATATGCTGTTGCATGTCATTGCCTCCTGCTGAACCTACGGATCCTGGACCACCAGGGCCAACACCCATTACTGACGCTGCCGCTGAGTTAGCAGCTGCAGCTGCAGCAGCAGCRGCAGCGGCAGCAGCAGCAGCCGCCGCCGCAGCATCATACTGGGTATTTTCCAGTCGGGTGATCAAACGTTCATCTTCGTCTCCAAATTCTCCACCCATCAGCGATGGTTCTCCAACAACCATCACGTCCTGCTCGATACAAATACAATTATAAATACAAATAATATCAAAAATCAAAAATATAATAATTATCTGTACATGATTACGCATGCCATATGTTTTTATATACCGTAACCGTACCTGTGATGCTAGGTTGAACCCTGCGCCACCAGCTCCACCGCCCCCGCCACCGCCACCATTTGGTCCTGGACTTCGTTTCTTTGAAGCAGAAGTGGGCCCGCCACCAGGTCCACCACCAGGTCCGCCACCACCAAGTGTGGTTGGAGGACCTCCACCAGCACCAGAGTTACTGCCCTTACGTTTGCGTCTTTTATTGGCTGGTCTCTGTGATTCTGTTTACACAAAAATATACATTTTATTATTTTTTTTATTTAAATCAATTATGTCACAAAATGAGCTGTAATGACTTAGTAAAATTCTATAAAAGAATAACATAATTGAATTACTTATTACTTAGAATTGAATATTCTTTATAAATTAACATAGTAAAGTAATTGATTGGGCGGGGACAATTAGCCCAATTGTCAGAAAGAAAAGTGGACGACAAAAACAAAAACAGATAGGTTAGGTACCTATTTGTGCATGATGAAATCAGTCACTACCTGAAGTAAATCTTATTTGAGAAAGAGGACAAGATTGTGATAAGTAGTATCTTTTCCTTGAATATTATAGATTCAGATATTTTTATCTATATCCATTAATAGTTGACTGAACACATTTAACAAATTTAACATTTTTTTTATTTAATCTTACGAACACTAAAATTTATGTTACAGAATGTGTTTACAGGCCACATTACTTTTGATATTAATATTACCTGGTGGTGCTACCATACGTTGCCACTTTTGAAATAGAGTAGTCTTCAGACAGTCTCTAGGACTAAGGGCATAAGCTTTGTGCCTGGACATAAGTTCTTGCATGGGTTCCAATATGACGCATAGCTATTGAAGGACATTAAAGACACATAAGATTTAATTTAATAAAACTAAAGCTAGTTAAAATACATAATCAATTAATAACAAACAGTAATATACTTTGTTGTCCGTAATATACAATGTAAGAGGGAGACTTTTTGTTGAAACCACTTTTGTTCTAATCAATATTTWAAAAAAATGTTATACATAATTTAAAGTACTTTGTGTTACAAGTATAGAATATAAAAAATATTATTTTTTAATACTGAAAATAAAAAAATTTTATATAATTTTTTTAGAAAAATTCTCAAAATAGACAATTTGTAAATCTGATTATAAGAACCATTTTTACAGTAAAAACATTTTGGTAAAGTAGTTAATTTTTAAAGTTTTTTTAAATATCAATATTTTTATAAATAAATTCATTTAAAATATTATTTTTGGAAATTTCTTGACATGGGTATATTTTTTAACCATGTAATTTCTACAATTTTAGTCACATGTGTAAGTAGCATTTTATATTATGTTTTTTTGTCAGTTCTTGTTACATCTGTTTGTTATAAAAATGTAAATGTTAACTCTATTCAATTTTAATTTAAATTCATACATTCCAGGGTGGTAAATATCATAAATTAAATTGATAAAAAAATGAAATATAATTCTAAAATAAGTATCTTGTTGTTTAATACTTACTCTCAGGTAATTGAGCGTCGAGTTTGTAATGCCCTGTCGTGTGATGTTTTTTGCCACTTGCTGGTGAACAATTTCAGCATTAGGTGGCGGGGGTCCACCTGGTGGTCCACCATCACCACCACCACCAGGTCCTCCTTGTTGCATCATAACAACCGCTGCAACAGCTGCAGCGGCAGACGATCTTGGAACCAATTCCCTGTGTTGTCTAACCGCTAAATGCCACGTCCGAATACGCATCATATCGTCATACGTGAATTCCAACGTTAGCCTACCTTCAGTGCACACCCTGGTATATACGGGCGGTGATGGAGGGCCTCCTGCACCACCCATTGGTCCACCACCACCAAGCACTGTGAAAAAATAAAACTTAACTTATCAAATACTTACATAAAATTATATACACAAATCATTTAATAACAAGTATATATATATTTTTTGCAGTTTATTAAGCAACCTCATATCTTTCAATAACAAAAAAATAAAATATATTACAATTGATAACCTTGTACCAAATAAAATCAGGTCTCATCATTTTTTTCTTGCTTCTGAGACAAACCAATGTTATTAAAAAGTACAATTTTAACAAGAATAGTGTAAGCCAACAATACTTATTGGCAGTGTTGGGTACTAACGTAACGAAAGTAACGTGTTACTGTAATGGCGTTATTTTGCTTTAACGTGTTACGTAATTTCATTAGAATTGTTTCCAAGAAACGAAAATGTAATGAATGTATTGAATAACGTGTTATAGTTGTGAATTATTAAGTACCTACCTTGCTAATTGGAAAAAAAAATGTCTATAATGTGGGTATTATTATGTTTACCAATCTAGTGTAGTAATATACTATATATTATATTTATTAAAGCTCCTTATACAGCTGATCTCACAATTTTGAATTCAATGACATTAGTAAAGAATATTTTTATTAAATACAACACAGCTTTACCATCCAGTGCTTCTGTAGAGCGATTATTTTGTGTTTCAGGGGACATTTGTTCTAAAAAAAAGGTTGGGTATGAGTGACAAAAGTTTTAAAGATACGCACTAATGTGTAAAGTTAATTTAAAACATAAATAAATATAATATAATATAATAATACTGTATTATATTGATTATAGTATATTAATTTCTTTTTMAAATTATATCTATTTACTATAGCTAGATAATGTATTTCTAGTAACATTATTGCCAGGCACAATGATAATATTGTTAAGAAATATAAAAAAAAAATATTTTTTTTTTGTATTGAAAAAGTAATGAGTTACTTTTCAATTTAAAAAGTAAAGTAATTTCATTACTTTTTTAAAAGTAATTTACCTAACACTGCTTATTGGTAGGTTTACCATCATAATTACATAATATATTTTGGTTTTTTAAAATAATTTTGTTGTTTATATTGAAAAACAATTGCTATATTCCCCTGTCCCTGAAGCCCATAATTTATTATATGAACTTTTCCAAATCTATAATTATATAAATAACTTGTCGAATTTCAAAACAAGTAATACAATAATGTACCAATATATTATTTGCTTAATATCTACTAAAGCCTATTAAAAAATTATAATATATTGACAACACAAATTCTTTTTAAAACTATATACAAGTAATTATAAAAACAACTTAAACAAACGTACCTGATTGCTGTGATGATGGAGGACCCTGAGCCACCAAGGATTTTTGCATTCCTATACCACCATTAAGTGATGCGGGAGGTCCTCCTCCAACGTTGCCCGGACCACCAGGTCCTGGCGACTGAGCAATGGAAGACGGTGGCCCGCCACCAGGGCTTGAAGTCAAATGTGTGGTCACCATGGTACAATGATCACAGTCCAGAGTAAGACTGGTATTATGAAATGACTCCTTGGTAGCATTAGCTCTCAAATGATAATACAAATCAGTAACTCCACCTTCAAATATTGACCTAAAATATCTAGGAATCAGGGTCCGTCCTATAGCTATACAGGAAAGTAAAAAATAAATAAATTTAATAAGTATTATACTAAGCAATAAAAAGTTGAAGACCAATTATTAAACTTACAGTAACGCTTAGGACCATCTTCTAAGCAAAATGTCAGTGTTAACGTGGCATCATCTTCAAAAAACTCTGTGGCAAACTGGTCCCACCATACATTGTCACTGTCCTATAACAAAATAATTGGATTGGATAAATATAAGTCATAAAAATATAAATTAAATTTGTTTATATTTTTCACATACATATAGTTATAAAATTATTCAAATTCATTAGTCAAAATTACATTTTATTCTAGAATAATTCAATAGCCATATTACCTCATTACGATTTTGCAGCCTTTTATTCAATTCAAATATCCGATAATCAGGCTGCACATGATGTGCATGTGGTGGATGGGGGTGGGGTGGTGGTGGAGGTCCGTGCGGACCACCATGATGYGGAGGGCCATGTGGATGATGTGGTGGCCCATGTGGTGGGACTCCTGCTCCACCATGTGGGTGAAGAGGAACGCCACCACCATGGTGTGGTGGTCCACCTCCGCCATGTGGGTGAGGAGGTCCACCATGGGGCCCACTTCCGGGTGGACCACCATGGTGTGGAGGACCTCCATGGTGTCCCGGGGGTCCACCACCACCATGATGGGGTGGACCACTAGGTGGCCCTCCGTGGTGTCCAGAGGGGCTATTATGGTGCACACCACCACCTAAATGTCCTGGAGGTCCACCGTGTGGACCTCCTAACACGCTACCACCATGATGTCCTGGCGGTCCACCACCATGATGACCAGGTGGTCCACTACCATATCCTCCGGGTCCTGCATATCCTCGGCGACCACCACCACCACCAGGTCCGCTGGGTCCTCCTACCATTGATGATGGGAAACACCTGAATTTGACAACATATTATCATATTAGTACTATTACTAATTACAGCACAAAAATAGAAATAAGGATACCATTAAACATTGCGTTAAGGTGCGTCCCTACTGCTTGCAGCAATGCCACGCGGGTTTCTTTAATGTTTACCGACTACCATCAGGAACCCGCAGGTTCGACCGATTAGCTATAAAAGCCATTCGACTTCACATCCAAGCCAAAATAATGAAGCCGAGTGGCAAAGCCGCATGCCAGTGGGGATGGAACTTTAGAGTCTAATTATCTTCTATCTATCTATCTATCTAYTTATCTGTCTATCTATCTATCTATTTATGTATATATGATTGGATTTTTGTCTGTTTGTTTGTCCTTAATATTATAAAGTTTATAAATTCCTAAACGGCTGGACCGATTACAACGAAATTTGGTCCAGAGATAAATTAGTATGTGCAGAAGATAGGAAAAGTTCAAAAGTGTTAAGTCCAATCCCGGGAGATGCTCAAACAGACATTTTGATATTTACGATGGAAATTTTAGTTTATTTATAAATGGTTGCTTATTATTATTATGACATATATCCCTAAATTATTTTTAACTGTGCACTTCATAGTCCGTAAAAATGTCTACCTCTTAAAATTATGCCTCCCAAAAAAAGATCGATCGGTATTTGTATGACTTAAGTACGAAAGAAAATGGCAATATGAGCTTTAGAATCAATCGAGCAGAGATTATTATAAATGATAATTAGGCCTGTCACTTTTTAACTTAGCTTATCTTCTGCCTAAACGTCTAATATCCCGTCTAATATATATATCTGTATCAAATTTCGTCGAAATCGGTCCAGCCGTTTAGAAATGTATGTAGAACATACATATATATCTAACTATATGTTTAAAAATGGATTTCTTTGTGTTTATCCTTAATGTATACCAATTCCAATTGGCGGATCGATTACAACGAAATTCGATATAATTATATTTCACAGTATTCATCCAAGCGTGATTATTAGAAAAATGGATAAATTATTAATATATCGTAGAGCATTCAAATTTAAGAATGAGGCACCAACTTGGACATTAGGTATGTGCAGTGTTGGCGCAAAATGTAAAATTGCAAGAATTACATACCATTCCAATTGCTAGACCGATTGCGATAAAATTAATTATTGGTACAGAGATTTATTAGACCTATTGGCAAAATATAGGCTAAGTTAAAAAGTGATAGGCYCAAATATCATTCAATTGAATATTAGAATTGTCAGAATTTCGTCGATAAAACGATTTAATTTACGTAATGATAAACTAAATTGAATATCGTAAGATTATTAGATAGTATATTTTAACCGCTATCTATCTATATGTATAAAAATATACTGCAAGCATAATCACAGGTAACAAATTTAACACATAGTTGGAGACATATAAGAGGTAGGATTTTAAATGGGCTACGAAGCGCCACGGGTTCAGTTAGTCTTAAATAATAATTTACTTACGAMGGATGGTCAACCATCATTCGACCGCCAGGACCCGTGTCTGAAGCATTCATCATTCCTCCGCCAGCTCCACCGCCACCACCATGATGATTCATCATCTGCTGTTGTTGACTAAATGGTGATCCGGGAGGCATGGGGCCACCACCACTGCCACCATAAAATTGCTGACCACCGAATGGTGATTGTTGAGGGGGTGGAGGTCCAGACCCTGGTCGATTGCTTCCGGGGCCACCGCTACCAAATCCTCCACCACCAGAACTGACTGAAGATGGTGATCCGAAAGGCATCTGCGCTCCACCACCGCCGCCATTAAATGGTCCACCACCACCACCATGCTGGCTATTTGGTGTGCCTGGTCCACCACCATAAGGTACAGGGGTTGAAGAACCACCGCCCCCGGGAGTTGATGGGCTATAGTGTTGCTGTTGTTGATGTTGAGGAGTACTGTTTCCACCACCACCACCACCACCATAAGGACCACCTCCAGGCGCAGGAGAACCTTGTTGCTGATGGAACAATGACGGGGACTGGTGACCTTGCTGTTGATGATGTTGCTGGTATGGACCACCACTTCCAGGTCCTCCAGGGCCACCTCCATATCCCATGCCAAACGGATCTCCTGGACCACTGCCTGGTCCTCCTGGACCTCCGCCAGTTTTCCATGATGAAGCCGCAGCTGCTGCAGCTGCAGCAGCAGCGGCAGCGGCGGCTGCTGCTGATCCTCCGGGTCCTCCAGGTACACCACCGCCACCTATACCATCATCTACTAGAGTTGCAGCTAAAGCTACAGCTGAACCACCACCACCTCCTGCATTACCAGCTCCGCCAACACTGCCTCCTCCAGCTCCTCCGCCCCGTCTACTGCATCCAGCTAAAATAAATAAGCAAGGAAAAAAATTACCATAATTATTTAGAAACTTTTTTTAATTTTATAACACCATATAATTTCTTTATTGAGAGGCAACAATAAAAAAATTGTTTCCAAAGGCTTTATCTTTTAAATTATATAAATAAGTTAAATAAAATACTAAATTCTTTGTACATTTGTTAAAATTAATATTTATCATTTATAATTTATGGCTATATTCTGAACATATTAAAAGTACATATATATAAACATATTAACTTTGTACATAGCTAGTTGTAATAGGATTTTTTCGTTCAATTGTTATATTTAATATTTTTAAGATACTTTGTAGATGCTCACTCACTGTAAGTATATATTTAGTTATTAACCCATCTTATTATATGGATACRCCATCAGTTAAATTAGGTGTCTATTGAATAATTAAAATTAAGAAATTTATATTATACATCCAGTACCGTATCCAAATGGTGGCAGGTATATAACTATCAAGAAAATATTTTTTTTTTTTTTAAAACTAATGATGTTGTTTCGACATAAATGTTAACTTTGAAATTTTGGAAGGCACAACATTTCAAACATCTAATTGTTATATTATTTTGTATAACATACTGTCATTTAGTTCTATAGGTACTGACTGAATATTATGTTAATTTCTTTTAACTAAAATTATTGATGACTAATACCTAATATATCGTAATAGTTGTCTTGTTTCAATGCATAGGTACCTAGCTAGTATTTAAATTTTTCATGCTGTTTTACATAAACAATCACTAAATATCTAATGAATTAAGAGTCCAAATATGATTTAGTGGCCCATGATTGATCCATTTAATTTTATAAAACCATTAAATTAATACATTGTTTTTTGCAACCAGCATACAATTACCTATTAATAAATTAATATCTTGAATTAAAAACATTATTTTTGAGAAAAAAAATAGATATTTAAGTGTAATGTATATTTTATTATTTATGATGTACACATAAATACTAAATACTAAATGTTTAGATACCTACCTAGGTATGTGTCGAGTAATATTCTTTAGTCATAATACCATATCAGAATTATTAAAAAAGTCACTATTTAGGTATATTTACAAATAAATTGTTTATTTTGAATTTATATACAAATAATATGTTATAGGCAAAGTAGGTTAGGGTAAGTCGGAAATTGTGCACAATGCCTGCTTAAGAGCAAAGTTGGAGTAAGTTAACCCGGACATTATATACAGTGTCCATTAGATTTGGGCACTAGAAATTAAATAAAACATATTTTTAGACTTTAAGTTTGAGTTACTAAGACTTAAGAGTACTTAAAAAAGTTGTTTTTCACTGTCTTTATCACTTCCATCACTTTATCTTTCTCGTTTGTGTTTTTGATGACAGTTCCACAGCCTCTAGAGCTTTATCTAAGTTCTCCTCTGATTTTAATGTAGAGAGACAAAATATGAACACAGATAATGTTTTAACATTTAAATTATATAAGAGGTCAATTTTATTCACTTTAATTTTTAAACTAACAGAGCTAAACGTGATCTGCTGAGTGTATTCTTATGTTACGCGCTAGGAAACAACACATGCGAATATGGTGTATTGGCGTCCTATTAACTAATAACATAATATTACATATAGGTACACAACATCAGAATCATGACAATAACTATTAGAAAATATAGAATAGCAAATTTTACAATCTCATTTTAAAATAGGTATTATTTAGATAGCCATAATGTCCATATATCAATTTATCGTTAAGAATACGGATCAGTTTGCATTATTGGCAACTGTCACATTGTCGAGTACGAATAAAATATAGAATAGTCCCGAGAATAGTATAGTTTTGTAGTGATATTGTTACATATAAATGCAATTTGACAAAAATTAGTATAGCGAGCAGTATTAAATTTACTTTGTCTACTTGATTTTAAGCAAATCTGGACAGAGTACACTTTGTCCGTGAAATTTAGTACAATTTCCGGTCAATGTATCAACAATTTGAGTATTAAAATGATGATTCTTACATTGCTCAAAATATTTGGGTATTGTGCACAGTGCCCGGGCATTATTTTACAATGACCAGATTTTCTACTTTGCCCATAACATGWATATATATATATGTTGCATAAATATTAAAATATCTGTAACTGCCTATGTCTACTTAAAGTAAGTAGGTAGTATCAATTATTGATTAATTTAAATTAATACATTAGTCATTGATAGCTCTTATAAGATATATATAAATAACTAAATGTATGTATTTAGATACTGAGTATCTATATTTTTATACTTACACTTTTTACTACGTTGGCCACCACGTCCCTGCCTCATATTAGTCTTTTTTCGGTAAATGATGAATATTTATTAATTACAATTTCTAAACGTRAATTCCGCACTCTTTGAGCAATTGTGTGCAAAAAGTTCCTAATCGTCGATTTCAGTACCAGTGCTTGTGACGATAACCACCTCCACTGCCACTTGTATCTGGCACTGACATTGCATCGACTGCAGTTGTTGACTCCTCAGACATGCTCAGAATTTCGCTAAAGAACGAGTTAATTATCRCGTGAACTCTGTTATTCAGTTACTATATTATATGTATTTAGAGCTGAAATTACCGTACCAGGCGATGTTGTTCGTTACAAATCGTCGGAGCGAGGTACGACGAAACGCAAAATGACCACTCGGTCACAGTCGCGAGTATTTCGGGCAGCAACGAAAATTCATACGGAATAAACACTATTGTGATTTATCAGGCGAAACGATGGCACCACACTGGTGACGGAGTGTCCGGCGCGGTGGAGTGAGGACGCGTACTTGTGGCGGGCGCGCCTCGAACTCAAAAACGCCGATGACGACAACAATAACAATAACGGGTTGTAATTAAAGCGGCAAAGATGTTGGTAAACGAAAAAGATAAAATGTTGGCGATCGGCACTCAGAATCGAACTAGTTGCGAACTGCGCTCAAAGTAGTCGGCACCGCCAGAGTGGTTCCGCGCGCGTCGTTCAGCCGCGTCGTGTTTACGGCAAAGTCGTCAGCGGCGATCGGTTCCGTCGATGTCGGTACGCGGACGCGGACAGTGGTAGACGGAGCAGAATCGCAGTGTTGACTGGTGGTCGTGGTCGGTTGGTGGTTTGCCGCCGCCGTCGCGCGTATATTATTAATATAGAGATAGACGCCGTACGACGCTGCCACAGTGCCACTGCTACCTTGTCATCACCGCTGTAGCCGTCGGTCGCCGAGAGATATCGATAATAATGTGCGCGCGCGGGAGCGTGTGTTCGTGCGTGCGTCCGTGCGTCCGTGTACATAATAAGTATATGCTATAATAGCGGTCGGCGGGCGGTCGGCGGTGTTGTCGCACTAATGGGCGGGCGGATTGGTGGCCGGGTGGTGGTGTTGGGTAACGTTCGAGTTGYGGCGGCGGGGGAGTGGGATCGGTCGGCACTTCGGCAGAGTCGTTGATGATAGGAGGTGTGCGGAGTGGAAGGCAATCGAGCGACGGCGTCGCCGCACCGACGCGTAACGGACGTACCGGAACGGTACGCGCACCGGTCCCGTGTGGCGGTTCACCTCCATACGTACCGATAGTTTACCTCCACCTACCGTCGACGACTGAGATAACGTTTCTACAGTATGGAGTATAATTATTTATTGCACCAGTATACCACTACCACATATCAAACTAGTAACTACCAACTCGCACTGGTACAGTTTCGTTTATACCTTATAATAGCTTTTATACAGTAATGGACGTATTACGTATCGTTCGTGGATGGCAGCATTGCGGTGGTCACTAAAATAACAAATTATAAGCACTGTACTGTACAGTCTGTACAGCTGATGTAAAATAGTAAATTAAATGTTTAATAAGATATTATAACCTAACCAAATAAACCTAAACATTTGTCTTCATCATATCGTCCCATAAGTTTACTTCCAGTTCTTGGTAAACTTTTCGAAAATGTCCTCCTGAAAAGATTACGTCCCAATTCAGGGCCGGATTAAGCCAAAATTATAAACTAGGCAAAACAATTTAGGCACCCTTAAAAGATTCATGTTACTCTATACACTTAATTTTTTTCTATTCTTAATACCTAATCTAATCTATTCTTATACCTATATAATTGTTTCACTTCATAATTCATAGGTTAGCAGGTCTTTGATATCTCAATAATTTTATGGCATTATTAATATTCATCCTCATTATTCATATTTTATATTATGTATGTTGTATGTATTTCTTTAATACAACTTATAAATATTTATACACAAAATTAATGTTACAAACTTACAAATATTACGATATTTTTTTTTAAGGTAGGTATGAACTATGAATATACATTTATGAAATTTATATTATATTTAATTATTATATATAACTTATCAGAGAAACTTTTTTTTTCTTGATTTTGATGTGGCAAAATCATTTATAATTTAATTTAAATTTAGTATTTTTAATAAATCTGACTCAATACTTAATTGAGAAAGTGCATTTAAACGGTCATCTTTCATTGAAGATTTCATATAATTTTTCACTCTTTTTAACACCGAAAACGACCTCTCTCCCGTACAATTAGAAACAGCAGTACTTAGGTACATTCTTAAAATAATTTCCCCATTTGGAAAGATTCCATCTAATGCAGTAATGCCTCACCAAAAGTATTATCACAGAACATCTGAAATTATCACGTAATACTGATTACCTACCGATATTCTGTATTTCTGTGATACGTATGGAACAATATTATTATAACTAGGTAGGGCTAAGATTTATATGCAATAAAAAATTGTAAAATATGCATTTTATTTACCAAAATATGCAAAAACAAATTTTTTTTATTATTTATTATAATTCATAATTTTTTATTACTTATTATATTATTACATTAAATTTTAGTTTAATTAAACGTAACTTGGCACTTTCACTTTGAACTTTCGGCATACTGGACACTGTTATTAAAACCATTCAAATTATATTAAGTATAAACGTCTGCACATTTATGCAACACACGACGTACCAATACAATTTTTCTGTGCTATCTCACTGTAAAACAATGTGTAACTGTGTAAGTAATTCTACTAGTCGTCCGACCAACGAGAAGGTAACAAACGGATATTATCTGACCTAAGACAAAATAGGTAGTATCATTGAGTATAGATAGTATACTATAGGTTAGGTATACTATCTATACTAGTTATACTATCTATATATACTATATATATACTATCTATTATACTATCTATACTATATTAGTATACTATCTATACTCAATGGTAGTATTTATGCTATATATTATTTACGAAAATTCAACGGATAAACCAAAAACTGTCGGTTTCGTGAAGTACCATTTAAAATTAGCAATAACATACAAAAATTAAAAATTTTAGTTAAAAAATATCGAATTCTAAAAAATCTATGAATATGCAATTATATGCATTATGTCCAAAACATGCAAAAATATGCAAAAAAAAATTGGTCCTATTTAAACGAGAATTAAGACAAATCGTGGACAAATCTGACAATCAATCAATTTGGACTAAAGGAAAAAAACATACAAATGCATATAAATCCTAGCCCTAATTATTACTATTTATCACAAGATATTACATCTATTATGTGATAATACCATTATATAAACACTATCTTGTCAAACAACAGATTCATGGACACTTCCCCGTCTGCCATTTTCTCGTCACGCGTTTCCCCGTAACCACTTCCTCGTAAGATATTTCCCCGTCAAATACGTTTCCCCGTATGACATGTCCCCGTCCATTATAAGTATACTCATAAATATAAAATATAAGTARTAAAAAAACAAAAAATTACCATAAAATATTTTAATGTTGTAGTTCTAAATTATGAGCGATTCCAATTATTAAGTACTCATTTAGATCACGCGTTCATCATTATGTAGACACAATATTTTCTATACGTCTACATTTCGCTATTTTATTGTTATATGTTTTCGAAAAATATTTTTCGTTATTGGTGTAAAATCCAAATGATTCGTCGATAAACTAACATAAATAAACTAAATTCATTAAATTAATGTCTCAAAAGTTTTTTGTAGACAATGAAGAGTTATTAATTCATTTAATTGATTATTTTGAAGAGACTTGGATTGGGAGACCAACTTGAAGAAATATACGGCGACCTCCAATATTTGATTTGAAATTGTGGAACCAATATGATGCTACACAAGCAGGTTTACCAAACACAAACAATAATATTGAAGGTTGGCATAGAGCATTCTCGTCTTTGTTAGCTGCGGCTCATCCTACTATATGGCGACTTATTGAGGTTCTTAAAAAAGAACAACATTTAACTGAAGTAAAAATTAATCAATTTATTGCTGGACAGGAACCTTCAGCAAAAAAGAAAAAATATCGAGATATTGCTAGGCGTATAGAAAATTATAACTATATTATAGAAAAACCTACTTAATTGGAATCGCCCATAATTTAGAACTACAACATTAAAATATTTTATGATAATTTTTTTGTATTTTTATTACTTATATTACACATATTATTATATTTACACGATATCGGTATAGTTTGAATATTTCAGAAATAAATACAATGTGGACGGGGAAATATCTTACGGGGAAGTGACCAGATACCAAACAACATACTGCTGCCTCAAAAGCTACACAGGCCACATCTTTTCATTTATTTTTAAATAGTTGGAAGGGAATTACGTATTTTTATAACTAATATATTTTATTATTAGTAATACGTCTACGTAATTTCATAATATTATAATATTTTTTCAATTACATATTGACTTTTTTTTTTGTGTGTGTGTGTGTAGTTAGTTTCTATGTTATCCATATAAATATGTCATTCTAATATTCTATATTATTTCTCGTCTCGAGCGCCCCTAAAATTTCGGCACTCTAGGCAAATGCCTACTTTGCCTATACGTTAATCAATGCCTGCGTCCCATCCTTCAAATTAACCAAATCATACCAAATAATCAGTTTGGATTTTGAAATAGGCACCCAACAATTCACCAAGTTGATCGTCTTACTGACGAAATCTCAACTGCTCTAGAATAACAAAGAATACTGCTCCGGACTTTTTTTGGATATTGCCCATTTTTGATAGAGTTTGGCACGTAGGCTTACTATACAAATTAAAACTCTTCATGCCAGCTCCCTATACTATCTTATTATCAAATCTTATCAGCAAAATCGTTCGTTAATCGTACGAAAGGGCAGTGATATCTCATCTATTACTCACTCAATATATGCCGGAGTCCCACAGGGTCGTGATTTATCCCCTGATCTATACACAGTGGCGCAACTAGCGGGTAAGTTAGCAAAGTGTAACTTTAGGGCCCCCGGCTTATCGGGGCCCCCACGGCTCCATAATAAAAATTAGTTTTTAGTTTTTTTCACACTTAATAATAATTATTATTATAGGTAGGTACCTATATTTTATTATAAACATCCGAGTATAGCCGTATAGACGTATAGCTCAAAATGAGATGGCTATACTATAATTATTTTACTGTTATTTTAATAGTTATTGACTATTGTTAATAGCCTATGG